TCCCAAGAATATTACAAGTTAATAATTGACGAATAAACGTGTATATACTGACGTTAAGTTGAATTTGTCTGTTCAAAAGTTAGGATACTTCACAAAGCCATGCAGTAACAGAGAAGATGATACAACTGTATTTGCAACAAAATAATACTGCGATACATATACAACTAGCTGAAGAAATACACTACTTGAGATCTACTGCTGGCCACATTCTCTCTTGAGTAAGACTTGACTTATCATATAGCAAACTAGAGAATGCACATCGCAACGAAGAACCTTAAAGCTGTTATCGAACTTTAATCTCAAAGATAAAATTGACAAGCGATCTGCATGGCGTGTTCACACGATTAGACAAATTAATATTTGTAGTAAACTAGAAAAATAAAAATAAATGTACTGATTTGATTCTTCACGACGACTTTAAATGAGGATGGTATTTCACTGACCGACAATAATCAAGAGATATTAATTTTCTAATGACAATATTTTCTAAATTGTATATGTAAAGAGTAAAATAAACTTAACAATGAACCTGTGCAATAAGTTATTTTATTATATGGAAATTTTACATCCTATACATGAAGAAGTACTCCGTCTGCTTGAACATGAATTAGCAATCGAATGCCGTGAAATTTCTTCCCTTATATCAATACACACGGACAACTATGGACATATATTTGATTGGAACTATGTTGAATTAATAGATGGGATAGAGAATTTTTTGAATCTTGACACTCAAGTCATTCGACAATCAATAATCTCTTCGACAATGACCCGATTTATCAATCAGTCAGAAAAATCCTAGACGAACATTGGATCAAGAAACAGATCAAAGAAGGATACAAACAAAATAAAGGTGCAAACAACGACAAGTTTAAGGTCAATAGCAACTGAGCAAGATCGAGATCAACAGACTATGGAGAAATTCAAGTACCTCACTTCTACCTGAAATTTCTGCTGCTGATGTTGTTCAGAAGAACAGTGAAAGCTCCACAAACCAAGCATCCAGCTCAGAGAACGAAAATCCATTACAAGAAATACTAACTAAAGTGCATTCATATCTGATATCTCTAGGATATACAAATGAAATAATTTTTGTGAATTACTAATTTGTACTGCTAATCACATTTCATGAAAACTTTACGATAAAGTAAATTATGATATGTTAACTAACATTCAAAACCAGTGTAATTTGTTTGCTAAGAGAGACAAACAAATGTAAGTGCAAATTCGAGCTTAATTTATGAATGAGACGTTTTTATCATCTATAAATTCACAGTTGAAATCACAAACTGATCTTAACTTGACCAACCTGGTGGCATTGGACGGCCTATTCATTCTACTATGCAACTCCTCAGCAGTAGACATTCTTGATGCCAGTTTATTGGTTTAGAGGTTAGGCGTTCATGCGCAAGACCGAAGATGCCAGATTTAATTCCGACGGGCAGAGTCACGGATGAACGCTGACAAGGGGTCCCTTATTAAGCCAAAATGGCTGTCCAGTGATTCCAGGTTTCTAATAGTGATCTAGCTATGATCGGTTCGTAATTTTAACTGTAATAATACTGCAATCTCCACAAACCTTTAATAATATTTATAAATTATTTTTTCTAAACTCATACAACACAGAATTCAGTTTAGCTTAAATAGACAGTTCCTACTACATCTACTTCAGAGAATATTATATATATATATATATATATATATATATATATATATATATATATATATATATATATTAAATCATGACTTAAAAAACAACAACATTTAATACTGAAGTGCAACCGAATTATTGATTAAATGGCGAATGTTTTTGTGAACATAATTTTCATGAAAACCTCATAACCAAATAAGCTTACCATTCTTTCGGTCAAACGAATGGATGATATCATGAAATGTTAGAGGTGAAATGATGATTGAGTTGTATACTCTAATGTGCCCAGGAAAATAATCCAAAAAATTTCATTGGAATCATGATTTGATCAGTACTAGACAAGCATTGGAAACCAGAAAGGACTAGATTGTCGTTTTGTGCTAGTATAGGACTCATCAACAGTGTGCATTCACAACTCTCACACCAGGGAATCGAATCCAAGATCTTCAGCTTAGCGCGCAAACGCTTAACTTTAGACCACTGAGCCGTCACTCAACGGTGTTAATCTCTGACTTGAGTCGATCCATGATATTGCACGAACTCATCGATTGTCTTCGGTGAGTAACTGCCTCATACATACAAGGTCTTGCATCATTTAATCAAGCCTTAGGAGATATCAACAATTTATTGTAGAATGTTATACTGTGTAATGTATGCTTCATAAATTCACTGGTTAATGTATGTAAACAGAATCTAAAACATTTCTTTGATGAAGTTTATATTAATATTGAGAAAAACTCATAAAGTGTTGACTAAGAATAAGCTGGTCGATTTTCCTCCCAAGAAATACTTGAAGGTCGTCTAACGTATCTTAGATGAAAATCATTATGGTCTTTTACAGAAACAATCTATTTGGTTTATTATGTATTTGACAAAGATATTTTCAAAACAGTCATTATACTTGTAATTGAAACTAAGTTACATTGGATTTGAGTTCGTCAATCTGCTACAACCTTCTGAATTGGTTTTCAATGCTCATAAGATCCCAATAGCTTAGGAATTTATTCATCAAACGAAGAAGCGACTGAATATCATGCTAGAGTTTTCGTTTTGTATTCTTTCTGAAAGATCGTTAACTGTAAAAAAAAACACAGCCGGTTTCCTTCTTATGAAAGCTTCATGGTAGAGTATATTCTACTCGTGCTTGTTATCTCTTGATTTATCGATTGGGTGAATTGTCCTCTTTTTATTCTGGATAATTGACTTTGTGTACCACATATACTTATTTGCATACCATCAAACAAATACTTTTTTCTGCACAATAATAACACTAATAATGACGTGTATACGGTGTTGACCTTTGTAGAAAAATATGTTCCAGTAAAGCTAAAAGAATTTGTTACACTAATGAAGTGTAGTAATTAAGATGCATTCTTTAGTATCAAAGATTTGTTATGAATTCTTCTAATGCAACCGGATTTTTACTTTGGATGACTAAAATCTTGTATATATTTAAAAAATAGCAAAACTATTACAACTGTAAAAAGTGTAATTCGAAACAAACTTGTGGGCATTCATCATTTTCACTTCAACTACTGCATAACTCAGCAGGTGTTTGTGTATTGATGAACTAGGTAAAATATTCCACTTATATGACACATCATATACCTCTGGAATAATATTGATTGAAATCTATCACAGAAATGTAGCTAATGCATTTTTCTTCTGATTAAAATAATAATAATAATAATATAATAATAATAATAAAAGCAATTTAACTGTGTTAAAATAATTTTCTATGTTAGTATTGTTATGTATGTATTAAATGTACTGTGATCTGAATGAATTTCATTTTCCATAGATTTGATTATATAATCCAACCGCTAGCTCCTAGCATGTTCGTGGTCATTCACTTATTGATATGTGGATTTTTTTATTAGGAAGGATTCAATAACTAAGAGGTTATTAGGCTAATTATTACCTAATGCATAGACGGAACATGCCAACTATTCTCAATGTGACCACAGAATTGTAGAATTGGTTTCAGGGTAAACTACAAGTGAGGAATTAAAATTGAATTTGAAAAACATTTCATAGTTATCCTTGAAAAAAAAGAGTTATGAATCTTTAACTTCTACTAGTCAGAATCATTTCGTTTGAGTTTTTTTCTTTTCAGTAACTCATTCTCAACATTTCGTTAGCAGTTAATGAAATAGAATTCGAGTTCTCTTGTGTAGTTCAAAGTCAAACACTCAAGATGCATATTGTTATATAAGAAACAGAATGATATTTATAGGTTGGAATAATATTTCATGATCTAATCATAAAATTGTAGCATACAAAGAAGACAAATGCTGGAGAATTACGTAGTTTGTATCACGAAGAATAAAGCCTAATTTATTAATCAGTCAATAGCAACGTAGAAATTCGTACGTACGTACGTACATCAGTTCATGTTGCCATACCACATTAGCACAGAGATGTAATCCAATAGTAGTAGAGGTAGTAAAGATATCAGCAGTAATCGGAGAGATTAGGATTAGAAGATATTATTCAAGAAGTAGAATCTAGTGAAATAAACTTAAAAAGAAAAAGATAAAGTGATGAGGAATTAGAAAGTTTAGGATTTGAGAGAACACAAAGAATGAATGCACCTGCGCCATTCAAAACGGTTTTAAGCCATGTCATTCAGGGTCTCTAACCATCGATGACTATCATCCTGCGGACCCCAACTGATATGACTCAGTTCACTTGTCAATGACTTCATGGACTTTTGTCCTGTTTTGGTTCGGCTGCCCCATAGCTTTCTTCCAGCCTATTCCTACACCGCAAAATATAGCTCGACGAGGCAGTCGTTGGTTAGGCATATGTAACATATGTCTCAACCACCTCAACTGACGAAGTTTTACTACTTCATCTGTTGACCTGCCATCCTTACCGAGCAAATTTATTAATACTTAAACGTGTTCTAAACTAAAGATTTTCCCCTTCACACTGTTAATTAGAATCTTCCGGACGTTAAAAAAATATGTTCAGCTGAAAATCTGCTGAAATTACTGCCACCAAAAAAATTATTGATTACAGTGACAAAGTGTTATGATATGCGGGTTCCGAGATTTGAACGAGAGAAGTGCTAACCTGCTAAAGTGATTACGTTATCGATTAGGTAAGTGCAAAAGAGGAAGTCTGTTTAGCTACCGAACAAAATATACTAATACCTATATATATATATATATATATATATATATATATATATATGGGCACATATGTATCCCATCTAAGAACTTAGTAAAGTAAGTCATTTCTTGACCAATGATAAGCAGTCAACCGATGGTCACCAAATACCCTTCACAATAATTAACTGATTCGTCCATCATAACACAAAGCTACCGTTAAAAGCCAAATAATATGACATTTAATGACATCCTCGTTGTGAAAAATTAAAGACAAGAGGTTTATCTAGTGAGATCTGTCCACAGTAAAATGCAATTTGGGTAAATTCTCAAATAAGAAAACTATCGATCTGCCATTTGCTAGACATTGTGAAACAAAAATTCTGAAATGAAGCATTGAAATTAAATTAATTAGAGTTTTCAAACAATTCGAACTAGGAAATTAAACTGAGAATTAATTGAAAAGGAAACGTATTTTCTCAAGGGTATTGTCAGTGATGGAAAGGTATGCAAAAATATGACATTTAAGTGCTGAATGTCACAATAAATTCTTCAGGTACAGCGTTAAAAACATATTAGAACTTGGGGATTCAAAAAAATAAAAACATGAAAATAAAAGACAAAACCATGTTATCACTAGGCATATACTTTTTGTTCACAAAAATTTCAACTGATAGAAACTGTCGAATACGTAGGTAAACAACTTCAAGGCAACAATACAGCAATATCAATCTGAGTAAGTAAATTGAAGGAGCTTCTGTTGAAACGCACATGGAGTAGCGATTGGATCTCCAACAGATCAGATCTTCGTTGATAGTTTTCCAGTCAAACTGCAAAATTAACTTTTGTAAGACATATTGATTTAGCTAGATGATTATTGTCGATACATAGATGGCACACTGATCGTGTATGATGATAGTAATAACAAACAACAGCTGTTGAACAGTTTTACTAACGTTCACTTAACTATTCAATTCACCAGTGAAGAGGAGATTGATAATAGTATAGTTCTCGTTGACGTCCTGGTTTGTAGAGAGATTGATGATTCCATTAAAAGAAATATATTTCGAAAAAAAATATATGTGTCGGTCAGTGAGCCAATATCCAGAGTTTTTTACATATCTTTAGTACGAAATAAATTTGGGTAAATGTTTCAGTCACAGAGTGAAACTATTATGTTCTGAGGATAGTGTAGATAGGGAAACAGATAAACTAGAAAAGACATCACTAAACAGTGGCAACCCAGATAATTTTGTCTAATAGGAATCGATCATTAAACAGTATTTACAGAGATTGTTTACAGATTTATGGTGAATTTTACTTCAAAGTTTGCATACTACTTTTTGTATTATCAAGTAGTTTGACATTTTGTGGTACATTTTCTTGAAATTTAATATTTTCTAACACAAGTTTCGACCATAAAACAGCATCAGCTTGTAAAGTGTCAAGTGTATCTAATATTTCAATGGTATAATGATCATCTGACAATACTTGACCAGTAATTTGATAGAATAAATCCAATTTCGGTGGATCGTATATTGCACCACTTTTTATATCATAGTCACTTAACATTAATTCGGGTAGTAGTTCACTTTCAGGCTGAGCATTTGCACTTAAAAATATGGAAATCTTTGGTAACCATAGCAATGTTTCATGACTAAGAAAATGAAAAGAATTGAAAAAAAACAATCTATCATTTTTAAGAACCGATCAAGTAATATTTCTGTAACAACGAAAATAAAACAGATGCAGTACTAACACTTAGTTAGAGAATAAGCATTGATGGATTATCCAAAGTTCTTCAATTATTAATATTATCTACTAATTAAGCAGAGATTACTAGTGACAGATATTAAAAATGGCTTTGTTGGGTAAAATAAACCATTTATTCGGAGAACAAAATAGCTGCTTACTGGTTAAATGTTAAGATCCATTTGCCTACAATGTAAAGCTGATTACAGAATGACTCAAACTTGTTTAACAAAAACTAAAATCTTACTATTAATATCGGTTTCGCAATAAAATTTTGAGTATAACTTTTACTATTTGTTGATTGGTTGCAATTGCTTTTAGTTTGTTAAGATTTCTTCACGTTTGAAAGCAATGTTTTTGTCACATGTATGAAGTACATATGAAATTGTATGTACTAGTTGACATTATTCATTTACACAACAGAACTGATGGGATGAAAGGAACTCGACCATTTCTAACTTCGCAAGTATTTTAAGTATTTATTGTTAATATTATCTTACTATCTCAGTCAATTTTTACAACACGAATATTATCTATGAAAGCAGAATACATCTAAACATACAGGTATCTCATTTGAAAAAAAAACTAATAGGCTGAAAATAAACACTTTTGTTTTTAGAAGCACAGCTCTAACTCACCGTATAATACTGATTAAACCTTCAGTGAATGTATTCAGTGAAATTAATTTCTCAAAATGTAATGGGCACTCAAGAACATTGAGACAATTTAAACAATTAAATTTGCAAATAACCGATCTGAAAATGGTAATTTTAAGAGAAAAAAAGTACAAATACATTTATATAAATGAATGAATGAATGAATGAAATCTTAGAGAAAGAATATCACAATTGTCTCATACCGAAACAGAAAATAAATTACTGCCATGAATAATTTTTTGTTTTATTGTTGTTATTGTGTATAATGATTATTTCATCAGAGTTCACGTCATATTTATTAGTATTTCAAAACTAGTTGACAAGTATAGACTTAAGAAATGGACATTACTGACAAATAAACAGACAGACAGACAGACAGACAGATACAACGCAGAACTTCGTACGTAAGTACATCAGTTCAGGTTGTCATAACACATCAGCACAGAGAAGCAACTGTCAGTTCAAATCCAAGAGTGATAGCGATAGTAGAAGTATTAGCAGTAATGGAGAAGATTAGGGAGCGAAGATATGATTCGAAAGGTATAATTCAGTGAGATAAATTTAGAAGGAGAAAGATAGACACTATGAGAAATTCTGAAGGTTAGAGTTTGAGAAAACACAAAGAGTGGATGCACATACGCCATCGCAAACGATTCTGAGCCATGTCGTTTAAGGTCTCTAACCATCGGTGACCATCGTCTCGCGGACACCAACCAGGTAGCTCACATCTACCAAAATGACTCAGTTCACTTGTTAGTGACTTCATGGATTTGTGCCATGTTTTGGTCTGGCCGCCAATAGCTTTCTTCCAACCTACTCCTACACTCCAAAACATAGCTCGTCGCGGTAGTCAGTGGTTAGGCATACGCAACACATGTCTCAACCACCTCAACTGATGAAGTTTCATTACTTCATCTATTGAACTGCCATTCTTACCTTCCAGTCGTTTCCTAATAACAGCATTGCTCACTCGGGTGTCCCAGGATATACGAGCAATGCTTCGTAAACATCTATGATCGAAAACCAGTAACCTACGAATATTTTCTACTCTGAGTGGCCATGTTTCGCATCCGTATAGTAGGACGTAGCGAACTACTGCATGGTACACTCGTCCTTTGGTTAGCAAGCGGATATCTCGCCTGCGCCATAGTTGACGCAGGTTGTCAAAATATAATTGAGCCTTCTGTATCCGAGTTGATATTTCGTCAGTCACCAGGCCATTGGCACTGATGAGACTTTGAGTAGTTGCTTTTAGTCTCACCGTTCTCCAATCGACCTGCATGGCATGGTAGAACGTTCAGGAATATATGTTCCAGCCAATATAGCTCGGTTGAGTCATCACGATAGGCAAGCCTGACCACCACGTCAAGGTAGCAGCTTCGGTCGGGAATGGACATTACTAAATACAATGTATTAATAATGAGTAACAGTATAAACATTGACTAAATCTAGTTGCATTTAGTTGTACTTTCTGCATTGTTTTATCATCAAACAACAACAGATCACGAGGAAAAAAACAAATCAAATCAAGATTGTATAGATTATACTAGTATAAACATTAATTTTCTATCAAAATCTTAAACCCAGTTGATAAATTACTTTCATACTCACATACAGTGTGAGGAGTGGGAAATATCTTCTATGTCTAGCGCTTAGAAAGATTAAAGTGATAATCAGAGAAAAAAAGTTAATTCTTCCTATCATTAAGTAAAAAATGATACTACTTAACGTATCAGATACTTATTTCTTTCTCTATGTAACAGGTAAATTGATATTATTCTTTAATTTTAACTTAAAAATCTTAATTTTAGAAACAAACTTTAATTTATTGAAATTATATCTTATGAACGTAATTATCGAATAGCGGTACAATTCATTCACCAGTATGGTTCCAGTGTAGCTTCACATGATTGTAGCTGATGTGTTAGGTCTTGATGTAAACCATAATCGTGATCGGTTTGTCTTTAAATCTCCAAACCTAGACAAGAGCAACGTAGGAATTTTTAGAAATTTACTTATCATTTTATGTAGGTTCGAAATGACCGATTAGTTTAAATTGATTTGGACAGATGATGGGGAGAAAATTTGTAGCTCAGGTGGATGATTGTGGTGATGTTTCGTTCTCGGAACTGGATATATTGGTTGTGGAACTTTCATTGTTCCTTTGAACAACATCACCAGCACAATCTTCAGACTTCTATTTGAAGTTTATGCTGACGATATTGTTCAGAAGAACAATGAAAGTTTCACAACCAAAACATCCAGTTCAGAGAACGAAACACCACCACAATTTGGACAGATTTATACGTCATTTTGTTTTTAATTTGAGAACAAAGTAACTTATAGATGACTTTAATAAATGCATTAATTATGTAAAGTATATTTAGATTTTGTACTATGATTGTTCTGTTACTACAAATTCGAATTACACGAACTATTATGTTGATTGGTTAAAAACTGGTTAAACATTTGTTGCGGTTATTTTAAACTCATCCTTATACTCTTGCCAATTGATTGATTAAATTTTTTTTAAATAATATTCAAAACTGTCATTCTCGAACATATTAGATAGTTGTTAAAAAAAAGTACTTACAACAACAGTAGGATAAATCATAGATCAATACATATTGATTTCAAACTCTTTTTAGTAAAAGATAAATTACATAGATTATGAAAATTAACTCACCCTCTATCCGATTTCTCTATTCGATCAATGTTTAGTTTTTTCAAACTTCCATTTTCAAGGCTATCGAAAAGGGGAAAAACGAAACAGAAAAGCCGATACAACAGTTAAATCTGTTTAAAATGCCATCCACATATTTTGTGCGAGAATAACATCAAATAATGAGTTTTAATACTTTAGCCTAATATTCTAAAAACTTTATTATGTCACTGAATAATAATAATAATAATAATAATAATAATAATAAAACATTATTATATTAATAAATGAACAGTTTCAAATGCACTCAGAGCTATATATATATATATATATATATATATATATATATATATATATATATATATATATATTGGTAAATGAGGGAGTTTGGTCAATCATAGAGTGAAAACGAATCTAGATCTAAACTGTAATGATCTGGAGTATGCAAAAGATTTTTCAATAAAAAAAACTTTCAGACAGTATCATTTATTCATCATTAGATTCATAAACATGAAATTCAAATTCAAACTATACATTTTCAGTAACTTTCGGACAATTAAAACGAATAAATCTAGATGATAAATGTTTAGAATGCTTATAATATAATTTGTTCAGAATTTGGTAGTTTTTGACAAACGCTTCCAAGTGCATCATGATGCATATTGGTCATCAAGGCACAGATAAATACATGGTGAATAAGACTGAATAAACTGTTCATCAGACACACAATGACCTAGATACTATGATTAGCCAAGACTTAAAAACTGATCCACATTGACGTGTAATATCTAGCAAAGGTCTTAGAACCCAATGATGTGTACGTAGAGCCTTTGGCCACGTCAATACTAAGACATTTCTGACTTTGCATACATTGTTAGACCGTTGTAAAATCGAGAATTGCATACTAGTATTCAGTTTCTACCTAAAAATGACAGTGAGCTAATAGTAAAAGCCAATTTTTTACAAAGCTCACAAGCTCAGAACAAATTACTTGTCAGCTGACTACCGACTTTCCTATCGAATCGTCAACGAATGCAACTCGTTACTCAAACATGTGAATGACACTCTATTTATCGACGAATTCAAGAGAAAGTTGCATCAACTGAGAGATAAATTTTGCTAGGACTAACACAGGTCACACACCCTCCTATCTTTTCCAAATTAAGACTGATACTGAAAGTGAGGTTACTACTAAAGTTATTAACCAATAAAATTGATTTAGGGACTTTGAGAGTTTTCTTTCAAAAACCAACATGCATTCAGTGAATATGTAGGATAGAAATTGTACACCTGTATAAACAAAATTTTGATATGTTTCTTTATAGTCTAAGAAATATGCTTATTAACAGTTAACACTACAAAAAAAATTATAACCTATTCAATCAGTCAGTAAAGTTATGAGTCGAAATTTTCAAGCTGAAAAATTAGAGATATTGTACTATTTTGGCTTTAACTTAGAACAAGTATGGTGTGGGATTTGAATAATTTTAATGCGGTTATCGAAAACGTTACCATTTCACTTCATTAGTATGATAATTAGAGGAATTTTTGTTGCCCGAGATCTGACCACAATTGCTATGGACAATTGAATATTCTATGAAATTAATCTTCCCTTCAGTTTCCATATATCATACATAGACTAAGCCCGTTTGTATGATGGCGATAATAAGAAGCCAATCATGGATTCTGTTGAATGAGTTCATTTCAAGCAATCATTCTTCACACAAGCAGACACAAGAATACCAAGCGTAAATGTAAATGGAAGCAAAGTAAAGGAAGCGAGTGGGCCAGCTCAGTGTGATGAGACATGATTAGTTGTTTATAATCCAACAAAAATAAGCTAGATATGTGATCAGCGAAGCAGGTAATGTACATTCACATTCAAAGGAAAACAACCAAGGTTATTAGAGAATCTTTCTCAAGGTCAAAATGTCTGTGATTAATAACTCTCGAAGAATAGGTTAATTAGTTTGCTCAGAGGCGCTGGGGCAAGTCATATCCGCTCGACATATTAGTACACACACAAACAAACAAACAGAATCTTATGTTCATTGAAGGTAATTTTATCTTATTACTGAAGTTGTCACTCGCAAGTAAACTTCAAATTCTTGGGTTCAGGTGATAGAGTGTTAATTTTTTAAACTGCCAAATCACTACCTGATCAACAATTATAAATACACATACTCTTGATTGATCCATTTTAACATAGGACAATCGACAATCTGTCATGTTGTGTAAGAACTACAATAAAAATCTGGATATGTTTTTATTTATCACGAAAATTATTTACCATAGAAACCGATAACAATAATAGAAAAAAATACATTATTTTAAATCATTGTAATGTAACTGTTGTCGTAACTATTAATATTATTATGCAAATGAAGGCATGAAGGAAAGAATAGAATAAGTTTATAACGTATAAGTACTTTGGTAATTCACTATATTAAGTGGAATACAAATTACAAATTGTGGTAGATTTCGAAATAATATCAACTACTTACATAAACGAAAAAAGAAATAGAAGTTTTCTTTTTCAATAAAACATACTTGAATTTGCAGGAAAATCAACCTACCTTAGCTCTGTTAAGCTGCATGTTAAATCGTCATAATCAATAAAACCATTTTTATTTCTATCCAGTAATCTTGTAATCACATCGATTTCAAACTTTGTAAATGGGCAATTTAATGATGATAAAGCTGTTTTCCATAAAACAATTTAAAAGATAATATGAACAAAAAAACATGAACAGACCAGCTTTAAAATCATCATAAGTAAAGTTGAAACTTGAGTATTGGACCGTTGAATGTAGAAGATTTTCTAATTGTTCTGCATTAGATTTCATCCATAAATTTGAACGATTTAAAAAATCAATGTACTTTTCTTCATCGGCACAAAATTCATTTATTTTAGCTTCTAACACCTTTTAATGTGATTTAATGCGTAGAATACCAATAAACTTTTACCTTTGTAGGGTCTACTGATTTAGCTTTTCTCCTAGGCATTTATATTATAGATATTTTTGAAATCGCAATCTGAAAACTGTGAGGTGATTTCGATAAACAAAAATTAATGGAAATTACTGATCTTAGAAGTAGAAAAAATAGACTGTTTAAATCAAAGAGAAAACATGGAAATATTGAAAAGTTTCTACCTTTTTATAAAGCTTTGAGATTACATAAGAAAATGACCAGGCAGTCCTTTTAAAATTTTCTTACACATTAAAATGTTAATAATCCCTCAAAAGCTAATCATTAGAAACGAATAATCTGTTTATTGGCTTTCGTGTCAAAGTGGTCTATAGATTTACTTCTAATCGCACAACTCTAAAGTCAGACATTTCATAGACAGTAGAAATGAGAAAACATTTATCGACAAGATTTTGTTTGAATTAAAATACTCATTTCTCTTCAAGATGAAGGAATAACAAGAGGGAAATAACGGCACACTCGAAACATATCTAGTTTATCTCTATAGCTGACAGTAAAAGTTTCACAGTGAAATCGGTTGATCAATAAATGCTGACCTAAAGTTGAAGCCTAAGAAAATCTAGTAGACGTTCATACTCATTGAATACCAGTCAGTCAGTCAGTCAGTCAGATGCAACGTAGAACTTCGTACATAAGTACATCAGTTCATGTCGCCATACCACATCAGCACAGAGATATAATTGTCAATTCAAATCCAATAGTAGAAGAGGTAGTAAAGGTATTAGAAGTAATCGGAGAGGTTAGGATTAGAAGATAATATTCAAGAAGTATGATTCAATGAGATAAGTTTAGAAAGTAAAAACTTGAGGTGTTGAAGAATCCAGAAGATTAGGATTTGAGAGAACACAAAGAATAAATGCACTGGCGCCATTGTGAACGATTTTGAGCCATGTCATTCAAGGTCTCTAGCCATCGATTATTATCATCTCGCGGACCCCAACCAGGTAGTCGACAATTACCAACATGGCTAAGTCCACTCGTCAATGACTTCATGGATTTATGCCATGTTTTGGTCTGGCCGACCCTAGCTTTCTTCCAACCTATTCCTACACTACAAAACAAAGCTCGACGAGGCAGTCGCTGGTTAGGCATACGCAACACGTGTCCCAACCACCTCAACTGATGAAGTTTCACCACTTCATCTATTGATCTGCCATTCTTACCTAGCACCCGATTCCTAATAACAGCGTTGCTCACTCGGTTGTCCCACGATATACGAGCAATGCTTCGAAGACACCTATGATCGAAAACCAATAACCGACGAGTATCTTCTACTCTCATTGGCCATGTTTCACAGCCATAAAGTAAGACGGAGCGAACCACTGCGCAGTACACTCGTCCTTTAGTCAGCAGACGGATATCTCGCCTACGCCATAAGTGATGCAGGTTGGCAAAAGCCAATCGAGCCTTCTGTATCCGTGCCGAGATTTCGTCAGTCACCAGGCCATCGGCACTGATGAGACTCCCGAGATAAGTGAAGCGGTCTACACGTTCGACTACTTCACTCCCTATCACTAGTTCAGGTGCCGTTGCAACCCAATCTTGAAGCAACATTTTGCATTTCGACGGAGAAAACCGCATCCCGAACATGACTGCATTGTTGCTTAGGGTAGTCAGAAGACTCTGCATTTTGTCAGCGTCTTCACCAAGTAGGACTATGTCATCGGCATATTCTAAGTCAATAAGCGAGCCAGCAGGTAGAAGGTCTACTCCTGAAAATTCAGACGAGGATAAGGTTATTTCTAGGAGCGTGTCTATGATAAAATTAAACAAGAATGGAGTGGACATCCCTGACGGACACCACTTGATGTAGAGAATTCCGGTGACAGTTCGCCATAAGCTCTTAAGGACATTGATAAAAAAGTCATATATCATGAAGTATGATAAATGTCGAACCATTACCTGTCATCTAAGTACAAGTAATATCCTACGATGAACATTTTATTTGTAAATCCATCTGAAATATACATTTGAAGAATGCAGTCTTTGTAAATAAACTTTTCAGTTCTCAATTTTAAAAAGAATCAGGCTTTGAAGAATTGAAAATATTTTAAAATAAATAAACATACTTTTATTAAGTTACGTCACAACATTTTCGCTCATCAGTAAATTGCGAGAAAACTTGTTTTCAGAATAACAGACATTACAGCTGATAACAGACAGTGTTTGGTGGTCAGTCAGTCATCTACAACCTGGAACTTCGTACGTGTGTACATCAGTTCAAGTTGTGATAGGACATTAGCACAAAAAGATGGAATCGTCAATTCGAATCCCATAGTAATATGAGTAGTAAAAGTATCAATGGTAATGGAGAAGATTAGGGTTCGAAGATATTATTCAAGAAGTGTATCCCAGTGAAATAGATTTAAAAAAGGAAAACAGGTTATGAGGAATATAGAAGACTAGAATTTAAGGGGAGACAAAGAATTGATGCTCTTGCGCCACTAAAAGCGATTTTGACCCATGTCATTCAAAGTCTCTAACTATCGGTTACGATTGTCTCGCGTACCCTAACCATGCAATCTTCACCTACTAACAGCTCAACCAAGCTGACGATGACTTCATGGATTTGTGTAATGTTTTGGTTTGGCCGCACCTAGTTTTTTCCAGCCTAACCCCACATCAGACAACATCGCTCGTCCACATAGCTGCCTGGGTGGGCGGTTTTGTATACCGCTACCACTAGCAATGTTTAGTGGTATCCATATTGAGGTAGATAATAAAAAATAGCTGCGGCTTTTGAATTTTAAAACAACATTTTTTGATTCATCACACTAGGAATTGATGGCAGATCAATAAATGAAGCAGTGAAGCTTCATTAGTTGAGATGGTTAGGACATGTGCTGCGTATGCCTAACCACCGTCTGCCTCGACGAGCTATGTTTTGAAGTGTAGGAATAGGTTGGAAGAAACTAGGGGCGGCCAGACCAAAACATGGCACAAATCCATAAAGTCACTGACAAGTAGACTCAGTCATGTTGGTAGATGTAGACTACCTGGTTGGTGTCCGCGAGACGAAAGTCACCTAATGTTAGAGACCTTAAACGACATGGCTCAAAACCGTTTGCAATGGCGCAAGTGCATCCATTCTTTGAGCTCTATCAAATCCTAATCTTCTGGAATCGTCAGCACCTCTACCTTTGTCCTTCTAACCTTACCTCACTGAATTATACTTCTTGAATAATATCTTCAAGCCCTTATCTTTCTGATTACCGTTAATTCTTCTGCTATCTCCACCACTATGGGATTTGAACTGATAGTTACGTCTCTGTGCTAATGCGGTATGGCAAAGTGAACTGATGTACGCACGTATGAAGTTCTACGTTGTGACTCTCTGACTGACAAATTGAGTATATACTGTCATCAAAGTTGATCATTGCTGTTATACTTCCCAATCAACTCATGAGTTTGAATTTTCCGTATTTAAAGAATAATATTTCTTTATTTACCAGTTACTACGGAGTCTTCAATAATAATACACAAATAACCACTAAGCCATTTGCTGCTGAAGTGTTCAAAAAATTGAGATTTTAAACTGATTGACATGCAAGTGGAGGAAATAAAAATTTGTGGTAACCATAGAGATATGGTTTTAGCCCTCGAAAGTGATGTTTACAGACCTGTGGCAGGAACAGACGGGAAATATTGTGAAATTTGTTTTGGTAGAGGAAAATTTTTCTGTTTTTTGTCTTTCAGGAGATCTAAGATTTATATATCATCTCACACTAACTTTTTTGAGTTTACTCGTATTCTTAGAAGTATTTTTTGTGTTGAAAATCATAGATTAATTATTACCATACATCTTATTAAACAAGCAAATATAAAAATATTACAGGACTTGATAACACTGTTGTTCAAGCTGCCATTTTATTCCAAGATCACAAAGACTGTTAAATTAAAGGTCAGGAATAAAGGGATTGGAAAACGGCAGATGCATCAAGAAACATATGACTTAAGTCAACTGGTTGTTGTCAGAGATGGGTGGTATGGTGTAACAAAGAGTGATTTTTTGCGTGTGCTTGACAGAAAATTTTCATCTAGAGGTGTGCGACGAAGACCCTAAAATAATACGAACTATTCTGAATAAATTCCAGACACCATCAGCAACAACCTACTGTGGGAGAGAACAAACTAGTTTCCATCTGAGGAAGAAGCTAGAAAGAAGATCAAGAGGTGGATAGAACATATATTGAGAAAAGTACCCAACTGCGTCATAAGACAAGCCCCAAGCATTAAAAGAACATATAAGATAGCTTATCTTCTTATGCGGGTCCTCATATAATGAATAACTGTCGAGGGTTGAAAAAAAAGTGGTCCGAACTATTTGAAAAACATACTTTGGGTCGGAAAACGTTAATGACCACACTTTTCTGGAGAGTCGGTCTTTAGAGAATCATTGATTGATACACTATGCGGCATCACATCTAGTTTCTCGCCGTTAATATCAACTTAAGGTATGCAGTATCCAATATCTTTTTCAAGAGTAAGTATAAACCAAGTAATTTCTTTGCGCTTGCTTCTTGTTCTTTCGGTACGGTTCCAGGTATTTGGCAGTGTCCAACGGATGGTAGTCTAGCCAGTCGACTGCACTAATTTTTCTGTTGCCAGTTATTTATGAGTTTGATTTCAGCGAGAGGATTTATCTCAGAGCAGTAAGGTTTCTGAGTACCAGCAGCTATTACATTCCCAGGACGTGGAGAATGATAATAAGAAAATTCTAATGCTAATGAGGAGAAGAAAGTAACAGCACTATGTACATAACTAAATAAGTTATTTAATTGGTAGTGAAGACTGCCTGAGAGGACAGAATTGTAAGCGAACAAGAGGAAACAGAGACACAATAAGTCATTGATACGAGGTAATGACAATGATAACAGCAAGCAAGTTTCAAGAAACGCATCAATCACAGCTAGTCCGAGCGAGAGATGCTAATCCATAAGTGAGTACGTGTTTATCAAGTCTCAACACGAAACATTACTCTGAGAGGGCTTTAATCACTTCAACTCGAAGAGAAACTCAAATATTCAAATTTACATTAGTTTTCAAAATGATCAGACAATGTCCAACTCAATCTTGTGGCACAATCATACACGTACCTGAAACCCTAGACACCAAATTTTCTGATTTGTATTCAGAACTACAACACTCATTTTCACAGAGTATAGATTGAGTATTTTGTAATTTCTTTAAAAATACAAATATCAACCCAAAAACTTCGAATTCTATAACTGAAAATACGTGCAAGATAAAGGTCCATCCTAGTTGTAATAAAAACTTAGATGACCAGTCCGTGAAGTGAAAAATGTACTATAGGCGCTTTTAATTAAATTTACTGAGCAGTATTTTAGGGAACGTTCGACGAAGAATATCGAAAACTTGGAAGCGAAGTAATGACTAACTCATACATAGACATAAACTCATGAAAAATCTTCATTAGTTGTCCTTAGTAAGATCAGAACATGAAGTATGATAATATTTTTGTAACATACGACACCGCTAAATTCAGAGCTTACTGTAACTTCTAATTGAAAATTGTGTGGCATTTATATAAATGTATTAAATAAATATATGTAAAAATAACTGTAAGTAAAATCGACATTACTCTTAGTTGATGTGACAACGTAGAGTATCTCTCCGATCTGTATGGTACGGAACCATTTTCAAAATAAGTTCAAAGGACGGATGATAACAACCACATATATTGATACATTATAACAAAAAGCGCCTTTTTCGTATAGGAAACTGGTATTCGATATACAATTTCTCGTAGCAACAGAGATTATCGTTTTCGTATTCTTCATTATCTCCCAGTTTTAGCAAATAAGCGGTTTGATATTGGATTTTGATACTGTCGAATAGTAGTCCGTACGTCGACACTAGGAAAATCCGAAAATTTTTGAAATCGAACAACGAGAGTATAACTGTACGATTTCCCAGCGAGATACTAAGCCTCGGTTAGTGAAGGTGACTTTCCTTTTATCCCTGTTAGAGGCTGTCATTTCCGAGGCATATCTATTGAACAGACTTTAGCAAGAGACTTAATTCTTTATCGATTCGGATCGGGCATATTATCCAGAATCAGACACAAAAACGAATTAGCTCTGACTATCCGATACCAGTAACATTTCTGACCCAAGTATTTCTCTTGCAAACTACGATCTTTTTCCAAGAAATAGATTACGAGGATGCGGTATAGCATCCTTTATATATGCCCACACTAGCTTAAACTCACTCTTCTGTGATGTGCCAGAACTATGTTGACGATCCCACCAGACGCAACAATATTTTGGGTGGATTTTTAATCAGCAACCTCAAACCCAGCTATCAAGCTGAAAAAGTTTTGGTAACAATTTGCGTGTTTTACTTCTTACATTATTGCGCATATCACTCTCCACACGCTTGTTACCCCAGTACCCGGAAGACTACATATATTATGCCAAATATTAAATAAGGGCCTACAGCAAAGTTGAAAATTACCGAGCAGTAAATATAACCTCGTTATTATCAAGCATGAGGGAGAGTGTAAGTAAAAAGGCAGGAGTAATACAGTATCTCATCTTGAACTCTCAGCATACCATCATGAGGCACAGGTTATATATACGTATAAATATATATATATATATATTTATTTATATATATATATATATATATATATATACTTACTAGCCTATCTGAACAATCTATCTCAAGAACAAGACAAGGAGCTGCAAGTATCAGTAATAATGTTTGGTTGTAAGAAAGCTTATGATACGGTTTCATATAAAACCCTTCTTGTCAAGCTAAAGTCATTCAGAATCAGTAAGCCATTATATTCGTGGTTCACTTTACTCCGTAATGAAGGTCATCAAATGGCAAAAAATAATGATTGCCTTTCGCTACTCAGACCAAAAACTAGTGGAGTTATCCAAGGAATGGTATTAGATCAACCATTGTTTCTTATATACATATATGATATGTGTAAAACAACAAAATTTGAAAGACGATCCACAGTCGCGGATGATCTCAAAATATCTCACCGCTGTTGAGCTTGATATTTGAAGAAAAATATAGTTCGGATTCAGATTGACCTTGACAAATTTTCTACCTGGGGCAAATAGCATCAGCTAACGGAAATTCAGAACAAATGAGGATTCATACATTTTACTAAACATCATCATGAAATACAAATTTATCTACTGAAACGTATGTTTCAGACACACATATCAGCGTATGATCTGAAGCTTCATTATACAGAAAGTCTAAAATTTGATGAAAAAGTTTTTGTGGTGAGTTTGGATAGCGGATTTTCAATGATCACCGCTAAATATTCTATATTATCCCGTCACGTATATCAAAATAAATCCAAGGTTGAGTATTTTATTGAAGGAGAAATTAGGCAATACATGGGGAACAGCAAGTAAAGAAAAATAGCAGCAACGCTAAGAGAACGTTGCGCGTAAGAAGTAGAATAAGTGTTTTTCGTACAGTTAAACAAATTGAGTACAATAATGTTTATTTTTCACAAATAGTGTTTTCTCCATAGAAGTGTTCCACTACAAAGTCAATCGTACTATTTCCAAATCCAGACGGCTTATGAAGTTCATGAAAATGAGGCTAAGCCTACATCTCAAAATGTGTATAAGATGCTTCCTTGAATACTGCTTACTATTCTTTTCAAACATGAATAACAAGGAAACCTCACACAGGGAATGCCATACTCTCAATTACACAGAAATTTTCAAGCATCTTCCCCTAGAAAATTTATGGCGCCTTCGTTTGAAGAAAAAACCTAAAATTTTCAACAAAATAATATTGACGTCCCGTTTGTAACCTCCAGCCAGTATTTGAACCACGACCCTGCTTGCCGACTCAGAAATAACGCATATATTTGCAGTGTAAAATTTTAGACTTTTATATGAAGTCAATGTATCTTATGAAATTTTTGGGTGACTGACAACATTTTACAGAAAGTATGTGAGTAATTTTGACATTTTGATCCTGCCTGTAAATTGTCATGCCTCTCGTAACATCATGTTATTATTACTAACGGCAAAATAAAGTAGTGAGCATATTGTAGTTTCTTTGTATTACGCTGAAGTATATTATGGAAGAGACTGCTGAAATGTTGGAGACGATAGACCCCAAGAACTGAACTAAAAGTTCCCAATTACCGAACTCCTGCAACCGTACCGAAAGAACAAGAATCGAGCGCGAAGAAATCAAATTGGTTTACACTATTTCGTGAAAAAGATATTGGATATTTGATATTGAATTTCGTTATTTTATTGTGAAAATTTGAAGTTCCATGTTTTCGCGCCAGTTGACCTTCAGCTCACAATTCCTATTGGAAAATTCTTGACTGTCACTGGTTGACAGATTAGTTTAGTTCGTTATTTTGTGGCTCTTCTAAAGGCGTCTCTATCATTGTATAAATGAGCTTGATTTGTGTGCTAAGACACCTCGTATTTTCTGGGTGCTTGTGGAATACATTTTCCACACCTTATGCAGACTTCTTGATCTAATTAGCAGGGCTTTGGACAAACAGATTAGAATAGCCTATCATGTTCCGTTTACCCAGTAAGGTGAACTCGTAACAGTTTCGAGCATATCACAATTTTTATTCATTAATAAATACATACCACAAACAAAGGAGAGCCTCACATAACAAAGGAAGAAGGTGATGTACATGACCAGCAGATTTGATGGTGGAACGATAACTTCAATCAACACACATATGTGCGGCAGAAATTTTTTTTGGCCCACGGCTCCTTACTTTAAAACAGGAAGTAACTAATCAGTTATATTGATGTTACTTTCTTTGACTCATATTCGTAACCTTGAAGTTACGAAGTGATTCTATTAAAAGCTTACCTGTGCGATTACTTTCAAAAGAAGTTCACTTGTGATTTCGTAAACAACGTTACAAAAAACAATAACTGAAATGTCACAAGTGTATCAAATCACTACGCCTTCCTTATTATATTCTGTAGATCTGCTTCATTTTTAATAATTTAGTTCTTTTGAATCATTCGATCATTTGCCCATTTGCGATCTCACGATTGACTTTTCTTCATTAACCTGCATAATGACAAGTGTGACTTAAGTGACTTAATCTGAGTAATCATACCTTTTTTGTTCAAATGTGTCAGTTACGTCATGACCCAGGTATGAATACGGGTATTTTCTATTCTGTTGCCCACTCCTCTCTCTTCCTTTCTCTTTTTCAGCACTTCATCTTACACCTTAAATAATAGTCTCGATGTATCTAGAGACTAAAATGATTTACACAGAAACCTGTTACATTATTGCCTGGTGAAGGACATCAAGAAGGTCACTACACATTTATCTCACCAATTCTTGCTGTATACAGCCCCAGATTTAACTCCTAGAGATTCTCGACGAGAAGTCGTTCATGGAAACGTAACTCACTCCAACCATTGTGTCGTGCATTCCGGACTCTGAAACATTTACAACTTTATGTGAAGAATATAAGCCCTCTATAGAAATGCAGTGCATCTTGTAAAATATTCATCTAACCGAACAACCTTTCATGGTACATTTATTCGCACTTTTATCATCATGATCTTGCCAGTAAACTAGCATGCATCATTTATCATATTTTTTTTCGGAAAACAGTTTACTGTTATTATCATACACTAACAGACTGTCAAGAAGAAAATGACGTATGAGGGCAAAGAAACACCCATTAGAAAAGACTTATATACGTAGTTTTTGTGCCCTTTCACACGAAGCTTATTAAAATGTGAAGATTAGAAGAAGGTATTTGTTCGAAACCGTAAATGCAAATGGCTTATATGAAAGCCAAAAGCTTATTGAATGAAAGGGATGAGGTGCGTGGATTAAGCTATATTATTATTGTTCACTTCAAAGAAATAACATAAATGCGAGCATCTCAAATCACAGACCAGGATCTAGCGATACCTCGTATGTATGTTTCAGAACGAATAAAAAGCAGAAGCATGATACTCAGCAGCCTTGTACCTAGGCTCCTATCCTTACTTATTTACTTGTGCCTGTTACCGCCAATGGAGCATGGGACGCCAACCAGTTTTCTCCAACCAACTGTGTCCTGGGCTTGACTTCACAGTTCTTTCCCGTTTTTGTTCATTCTTCTCATGTCTTTCTTTATTTCTCGGAGTAATGTGTTCCCAAGCCTTCCTCTTTTCCTTTGACCTTGAGGGTTCCAGGTGAGGGATTGTGTTGTGAGGCAGTAAGGTGCTTTTCACAGTGTGTATTATCCATTTCCACCGCTTCTTTCTGATTTCCTACTCCACTGGAATCTGGTTTGTTCCCTCTCACAGTAGGTTGTTGCTGATAGTGTCTGGGCAACGAATCCGAATTATTTTGTGAAGACAACTGTTCATAAATTCTTGTATCTTCTGGATGATGGCTTTCTTAGTTCTCCAAGTTTCCACTCCATACAGTAGAACTGTCTTGACACTTATATTGAAAATCCTGATTTCGGTGTTGATTGGTATTCGCTTGGAGTTCCAGATATTTTTCATTTGTAGAAATGTAGCCCTTGTTTTGCCGATCCGTGCCCTCACATCTGCATCGGATCCACCTTGGTTGTCGATGATGCTGCCAAGATATGTAAAGGTGTTAACGTCCTCCGAAGAATCTCCATGTAGAGTTATTCGGTTAGCACATGTTGTGTCATACCGTAGAGTCTTGCCTCTTCCGCCTGTAGACT